TGCAATCGGAGAAAGTGTAAGCACTCTTCGATACTTAATCGGTCGTTTCTCCTCCTTCTGCTCATTCCCCTTTCATTCGAGTGGCAGAAAGGGCAACCGTCACGATTACAATTACCTGTAAATAACGTTCAACCGAGTACCGCAATCGATACAATTATTTTTGGGAAGGCGCGAACCGTATCTTCGATTACACCGACGGAATCGGGACTAAATGACGCTTCGTTCGCAATATAAAGCAGGATCGGTAACGAGGGCAGCTCTTCTTGAACACCTCCGGAACCTATCATCTTCTCGTGCCGCGATAAAAGAGAAAAAGAGAGAGGCTCGATCGTGCCACTCGATAATTGATACATACTTAACAAGAGAGGATCAGCGTGAGAAGCGTAATTAAGAACGTGTTGGCGAATTTATAGCGGCTCTTTGGGACGTGTTATTACATAAAAAATATCTCGTTCGCGCGACGATACGTACTCGTATTTCGCTGCGCGCGGCAACTTATCAGCGTTTTATAATTAAAATGATTTTATAAGTAAAAAATCTTTCCATAAAATAAGGTTGCAGAAGTAAAAGAAAAAAAAAAGGAAAAAGTTTATCGCAAAATTATCCGTTAAACATAAAGTAACAGTAACATTGCATTAATATTATAATTTTCTTCTCAACAATATATAATATAATTGTTATGTACAACATGATAGATTCTGCGCAATGGAGGAAATATTTGGAATAAAGAAAAAATATTAAAGAATATTAGAGAAATAAAAAAATTATGAATGAAGATTAAACGTTATACACAATATAAATAAGACATGATATTCTTATACCATATTTACTATATCCATTGTGTGTGTGCGTTTATTCTCTATTCTTTTTTTATTTCTCTAATATTTAATACTTATTCCTATTCCTATTTCTTTCATTGTGCACAGGACTTTATATTTATTATTGAATGGGAAATTATAATATTAATGTAATGTGTTACTGTTTTTGTATTTAGTAGACAATAATTAGATAATTTACGTCATTTCTTAGGAGTCTACAAACTGCGTGAAAAGTAAATTTTCCCAAAACCATCATAGTAAACATGTATGAAAGAGAAAAGGCTTGAAGACTCACGCTGTACTCAAATACAGAATAAGAAATTCTATTGTAAAATTAGTTAATTTACTCTCCAGGAATCTACAAACACGAAGAGCAAGTTTTCCATTCTAAAAACAAAGAGAAGAACTAGTACGATATATACAAAAGAAAAGAGGAGTTGCTCCTTGAGGACTGTACTCGAGTACAAGAGACAAGATATCTTCTCTGTAGCCTTTTATGGTTTAAAACGCCGAGAGATAAATTGAGAAAGGTTCGACTCACCGTTGAGGAGTACGGTCGGCAGGATCGCGTGAGCTGGAGCCTCTAGGGATGGCGGGTAATCGATGTGCAGGAGAGCCGAATGTCTCGACGATCTGCGGGACGGAGAACTGACGGACAGGACGCTATCCCGGGGGGACGTTTCGTAGCGGCGAGTCAAGTCCGTGTGTGCATCTCGCGATCGATGCAATAAATTCACGAATGCGGTGGACGAGTTGACAGAGAAGTGCGCCCGTGTCTCGCGCCGGATCCTCTTCCTTGTTTGCCACGAACGGGAAACGCGATCATGCGGGGCTCGGGTTCCGGAACCCGACCTTCCTGCGACCGGGATGGATGTACGCTCGAGGGATTATACTCGGGAATTCTCCGTGCCTGAGAAACGACGCGAACAATCTGTAAAAGAAGGGAAAGATCAGACATCATTTCACGTGGAATGTCGAGCTTTTCATTGTAGATTTTCGCCTTTTTACAGTTCGCCACAATCTAGTCGACATTAATTATAAAGCAACAAAAACATTTGCTCGGAAAGAATAGTTTTGCTAAAACATTAAAAAATTTAATTAAATATACAATAAGATTGGAAATAAGATCATTTATGCTAAATATAATACAATAATTCAACATCTTAACATTCAGACCGTAGTGGCGCTTCATATTTAAAGTAATTAATTAGATATATTTGTAGATTGAAAGATAAATTTTATTAAACTATCAAAATATATTATGTGAGAAACTCAAGTTGATGATTAAAATATCAACATTTTTTTACATCATTCTTGAGTTTTCTACACAAATATTTTGATGAACTAAAATTATTTTTAGATCAGTATCTAACTAAATTTTTAGATAGATTAGTAAAATCGTTCTTTCCGTTTGTGTCATCATTTCTTATTCAATAATATAACTGTTATATTAGACAATGTGTTGTATTACATTTATAATGCGAAATTATAAATGTTATTTTTAGGCTGCATTTCATTTGGTGCTCATAACGCTATCATTTGTTCTTATTTATCGTTTGATAAATAAGGATGAAATGATTCCAAGAGCATTGTGAGCGTTAAATGGAACGCAGCCTTGAACTTGGTTTCACATATGCAAGATTAATGCTCATTTCCGTTAACGTAGATTAACTTTAATTTCGGTTCAACTTACTCTTCATCTTTTTTTAATCTTTAGAATTAGAAAAAGACAAAGAGTAAGTTAAATCGAGATTAAAGTTAATCTAGATTGGTGGAAACGGGCATAACTTTATTCTCAATTTAATAACTTTCTGTTTATTTGTCCCTAATTCTTAAAATTTTATATTTTTTATCTAATAAACAATAAAGATAAAATAATACAATATTGCTGATATTCCCCCAGCTCAAGAAAAGGTGAATTTTTTAATTCATCGATTGATTAATCACATTATGCGCAAATGCAGCTTTTATGGAACAAAGTTGCATTTGTTACACTCATCTAAATTTACCTTGTTGAATTCAGGGAGACGCTATATTAATACTTTATTAGTTATATTTGCTTTATTAGCACTATTTGTCATTCTATCTTTTTTTTACATCTAATAAATGATAAAGATAGAATGAGAAATATAATTATATAATAGAAAAATAGAATGATGGTAATAAGAAAGTGTGAAAGGTATGGAAGAATGAGCGAGTTAAGAAGAATTGTAAACCAAGTTCTCCTTCTTGGTTTGTATATGCTGAAGCAAATAAAATATTCTATTCTGACGGTAATACCGTCTTTTCTCTCTTCAAATGCAGTCCTAATTGACATATAAATCTAAGTGAACATGGCAGTCATCTTTATGTGTTAGAATCTATCGAATTCTATCTAAGCAGAATAACAAGTCATTATGATATCAAAATAATGTCGAAATGACTCCAAAATGATCATTAAAAATCATTTTTCATTCCCAATCCATTTTAATGTCATTTTGACGTTATCGTGATTTGTTGGTCTGCTTGAGTATCAATATCGAAATCAGAGCACCCATCGTGGAATAAGTCGGAATAAATTCCGATCGGAATTATTCAATAATTATTCCCTATACTTCCATTGTGTTTTCCTATCTAAGAAAAACGGAATAATTCCAATTGGAATCCATTCCGACTTATTCCATGATATTAGGTGCCCAGATCCGATTTCTATTTTTCTTATGAAAATCTGTTTCTCAATTAAAATCAATATAAATCTATTTCTCGTCGCGATTTGACGACGTCGAAGTACCAAAGAAATCAACCGATAAAGATCACGTCGAAACGTTATTTAGAAAATGGTGACAACTGAATTGCTCACCGAGGAAATCGCGCTGCCAATGTCATGTCGGTCCACTTCGATCGTTTCGTGATTTGGGTGGACACGAACTGATCGCGAAATAATGACTAATCACGATTCCGTGATTAGTCGACACGACGAAACGATTACCTGTTGTTTCGTGCGATCTTTCCGATGCTCGTTGTATGTACTTGCACTATGACGCGGCTGAGATAAAACAATCGCGAAACGTGAAGATCGCCTATTGCACGATGCGACAATGTTCGTTAGGGTGAAATCACATGGTGCGGAAAACGATTGCGGAATAGAGAATGCGTCATAGAAGCAATCAATCGGCGTTCTTCTGCATTATTCCGAATAGGGCTAATTGATTGTTTCAATGACGCATTCTCTATTCCGCAGCCCTTTTCAGCACATTTTCATTCTTAGTGATTTCACTCTTAGAAGCGAACCGCGCGAACTGTGTACTTACTAAAACGAAAAATTTAAATTAAATACGCCATGAAGTTAGCAGCGTCACGCGTTGCGAATTTTAAGCAAGTCGAAAAGTTTATTTATTTATTATTTATAATGTATATATAATTTATAATGTATATATAATTTATAATGTATATATAATTTATAGTGTATATATAATTTATAATGTATATATAATTTATATATGTGTATATAGTGTAAAGTTTTTACAGTCGTGGCCGCTGTCTGCATCGACTATTCCGTCTAGACAGCGACATCTTTACGAAACTCATGCAACTGTTCAAACTTCAACAAATTCTCTAAACCAATAAAACGTTGTTCGAAATCTATAATATTAGCGATTAGTAAATTGTCGTGTCAATAAGTTTTGCGAATAATTGTAGATTTTTACATGATTAATCATCGATAAATGTGTTTTACAGTTTAGCGATAATTTGCACAGATGTCACAGTTCATTTTTAAAAATTATACATTTCGATAATATATTGGGTCTAAAAAGTATCCGCGGTACTTTGTCATTAGATATATGACCATCAACACACATCTAGTGACAAAAAACCGCGAATACTTTTTAGATGACCCAATATATTGTATATTGTAAAGGTACCTTTTCATGCTGATGCTCGATGCTCATTTTCGGCGTTAAAATAAGTGTCTAAATATCTCGTGATAGAAATCGACGCGATAGAAATATCAAGCGTCAATTTTTATCACGTGACCTATTTTGACGCTAAAGGCCGTACCACAGACTCTTGCATAATGCACAAGAGAATCAACCAATCAAAATTCTTCTTTTCCATGGAATGGGAGGAAAGATTCTGATTAGTTGATTCGCTTATGCACTATGCGTTATACAAAAGTCTGTGCTGCGGCTTTGAAAATGAGTGTCGAGCGTCGAGCATCAGCATAAAAAGGCACCTTAATTGATTACAAATTTCTCTTAATACATACTTCGTGCATATAACCTCAGAATTCAGATTTGTCGGCATACTGCGGCATATGTCTACGAGAGATTGTAAGATTCGAGAGAATCGGTAATCACAATTATGAAGAAATACGTAGAACAGTTATTAAAAGGAGATGACAGTTCACAGTCGCTGCATCTAGCCTTACTGGTTGCTGCATTTGTTCTTATAACATTAGGTAACTTGCATGTTTATTCACAGGTGTTGTAATATTGAAAATGTAATATTTTTATTTGATAAATTATCTTATGTATCTTTTGTTATTTTATTATTTTATGTATTTTTATTTCATATGCTTTTTAATATCTTTAAAATTACTATGACTTATTTGTTAACTTATGTGTGTGTGTATATGTGTGAAAAGAAATATATTTTTTAATTTTTCTTCTTGACATAAGTTTGTAGGATTTGTTTTTCGAATAATTTTAACTGAATTAATATGGAAAGAATATTTTTTTCTGTATTTAAATTATTTTCTTACATACTAGATGTGTTGACCATCAACACTATCTAGTGATAAAAAACCGCGGATATTTTTTAGATGACCCAATATATAATATTACATCATTCTCTTATACATAATATATTTTTATTAAGTACTACTTTAATAAAATTAATTTTTGCAGTTTTATTTATATTTTGGCGCAAGAGGAAGTCTAAAGGTAATATTATCCTTTTAACGGGCCTAAGTGACAGTGGAAAAACATTGATCTATGCAAGATTATTATGTTCCCAATTTGTCAAGACATATACATCTGTTAAGGAAAATATAGGAGATATTACGATCAATTATGTAAGATTTAAGCAATATTTTGTGATAAACTAGATTTATAATTATATGGTAATGTATCTATACTGTAATTGTTCTTATAAAAACATTTGCTTAGCGTTTTTTAAGAATAGTGGACATTCCTGGAGATGAACGATTACGTGGCAAGTATTTCGATAAATATAAATCGTCTGTCAAAGGTCTGGTTTATATAATTGATGCAGTGACTATTCAGAAGGAGATCAGAGATGTGGCTGAGTAAGTATAGAATTTGATGAAATTGATTCCATGTTTTTAACAAAATGTTTCATATAAATTTTGAATAAATCTTAAGATCTATATGATTAATATTTTTTTGCAGGTATCTGTATAATTTGTTATCGGATCCTGATATACAGAAGAATGTTCCTGTCCTTATAATGTGCAACAAGCAAGATCAAACTATGGCTAAGGGATGTTATGTGATAAAAGCATTATTAGAGAAAGAAATGAATCTGCTGCGTATGACAAAGACTAGCCAATTGGAAGCCACTGACGCGTCGTCGACGAATGTCTTCCTTGGGAAACAGGGAAAGCACTTTGAATTCTCGCATTTAGATTCGCAAATTGATTTTGTAGAGTCGTATGCGTCAAATGATGATTCTCAAATGTCAGCTAACATTGAAGAGCTTAAGAAGTGGTTAATTAAAATCGCGTAATACGAATCCAATCTTACTAAATATAAATTATTGTTTGTAAGTAACTTTGTAATTATTATTATATATACAGAAAATTTTTTTATTAAACTTTCAGAATCATTATATCGCATTATAAAAGAAACAGATATTTATTTAAATACAACTTCATACATGATCTTTGTCTAATTTATATTTATCCACAAATTAGTATATATAAGTCTTGATGTTTGCAAATTGAGAGTTATGCCTGATAGAAAGTTTTATGCTTCGGTCTTAAAAGTTTGCAACAAAGAATGCCATAAGATCATTTATGCTTCTCCAGTCCTAACCGTAGTCTTAAGCGGGGAGCACAAACTCTTGTATAACACATAAAACATGAGGCATAAGAAAATCAATCAATCAATCAGAGTCTTTTATTTTACGGAAAGGAAGGAAATAAAGGATTTTGATTAGTTCATCTTATGCCTCATGTGTAATGCATTATGCAAGAGTCTGTGCTCCCCGCTTTATGCCTGGTTTATGCTTCGGTTTTAATTTTAGTCTTAAAAATTGGCAACAAAGAATGCCATAAGGTCGTTTATGGTTCTCCAGGGATACGTTCCAAAACTCGACTCCGAATAATAAAGTTAACTCTACGCTGTTCCAAAACGTGAAGTAACTGACCATATGGGCGGAACCTATTCGTTTCAAAAGTTTAAGTAAACTTACCTTGGAGTCAACTTTATGAATTCTGCTTCCGAGATGGGTTGAAAAAATAAGGGGCTTATCAGAAACTGTGTATTCCACAATACATGATTTCTGATAGATTGAAATTCTTATTTTCTGTTCTCTGTTCCTTTTATTGTGCGGAACTCCTAAGACGCGGTAACCAATGAACATGTTAGGAGCTGTAATCTTATTGGCTACCGTATCACATTTTGCCGCGCGATAAACGTTTCTGCGTCCAGTGTGCAGGAGCTACGAGTTCCGATTGGCTTCCACTTTTCCGCTTTTCCGTCAAGGTCTGAACTCAGTTCAACCGCAAAACGAACATACATGAGTCATTATAATTTATAATTATATGAATTGTAGCCTCGAAGAACCTCCTCACTAATTTAATGGCCATATGAGTTTGAAATTTTCTTCTTATTTTTGACCAGACCACTTAAGTCAAGAGTAGAAATTCTAAATTTACCGGTTTCAACCCAAAACTTTGTAAAACTAATATGATCTACTGCGAGGACAGTATCGTGGAACGGAAGCGACGTCTAGATCGAACTAATTCAGATGATCATTTTTGACCACGCTTTTTGATGGCTTCGTCCATATAGTATAAGTCTTCTATTCTCTATCCTTCATGGCGAGCATCAAGATCTGTCAAGGTTTTACCGCCTGGCCTGGTTTTCCGGCACATTTAACAATTGTTAGGTTACGTATTGTTTGTCTCACTGGTTCTGTGACTCGACGGCTTTCTGTCAATGAATAAAAAAAACTATTGTTCCTTTGGTAATCCGTTTTGAAATCCAAAGAAGAATTTTGCTTCGATCTAATGTCTAAAATCGGATGCAACAAATACGATACACTAGTAGGACGACAGGAAGCATAGACAACCATCGAGTGTCGGTATGGATCCTTTTCCAGCGTCGTTGTCGGCGATCGTCGAATATTTCTTTTGGAATAGCATAGCATCGACAAACTGATAGTGGGAACGTATAATCTGTGTATTTTGATGTATTTGCAAAATTTCTACGGATAATTGTCGTTGCGCTTAGCGAATTAGATCTAAACTTCCATTTAAAGAATTTTTTACGTTTTTGTCTATTCTTTTCTATTTTCAGTTATATTTAGTGTTTAAATAAAGTATATAAGTACTGATCTACAATTGGTAATAAATCTTCAGCTTTTTTACTTTAAATTGTAAACTCTATTGTATTTTTTCCAACAGAAAGCGTTTCCTTTGCTTAAGCTGTAATCCTTATGCTAAATAAGCTAACTAAATCCCAATTAAAGTTTAAAGTTTAGAGCAAATTATTGTTTCAGAGCTTAAAGCAAAAGGCTTATTATATTTATTGTAGATCAGGGTAATTTAATTTTGATCTAATGTTTACAATTTTTTATACAAGAATTAGTGAAGAAAATGCCAAGAGCACGGATATTTTCGCGTTCTGTCTTGAACGCTCGTCCACTCAACATGACATTGAACTTGGAATGTATAGAAGAACCTCTTAGTGAAGCTCAGCTACAAATAAGAACAAAGCAGAAAGAGAATTATGATAAAGTAATTTTACCTGGCAATAATTTTTTTTTAGTGACATGAGCATATATTATACATCAATCTTGTTACTATCAGGTTACAGCTATGTTAGAAGAATTGATTAAAGAACAGGGAGCTAAATTGATATGTCAAGTAGGCGACACCAATGGTTATCAGTATACAGTGTAAGTATTTAATTATAAAATGCACTAGTGTCAAATATGATTACTACATAATGTATTAATTACAGACCTTCGACACAGACTCCAGCAGCAGTTCAGAATAATTCCCAGATTAATTCTCAGATTCTAAATGTTGTAAGTATTTTAGTATAAACTTTAGTATAATTAGAGGAGAACAAATTTATATGTACAGGATGTCTGATAATTATTGATATATAATGTCCCATTTTAAATGACAATCTCAAATTTCTCTTGAACAGTACATTTCAGAGAAAAATGTTTCAGACAAAAATTTGATTTCAAGGAGGATTTAAAATGATATTATTGGTTTGACCTTGAATGGTATCAAAATGAGGGGAAGGTCACTCTGAATTTTTTTAATGGAATCTCCCATTTTTCATTACATATTTTTGTAACTTATCTCTGGAGCTTTTCAAAACACTATAATAAAATATTTTTTCATTAGATACTTTGCAAGTTATAAAGCTTAAAAGTTACATTACCATTGGCATTAGTTTTATCCAAGGTCAAACCAATAATATCATCTTAAGTCCCCCTCGAAATCACAAAACTTTGTGTCTGAAACATCTTTCTCTAAAATGTACTATTCAAGAGAAATGTGAGGTCGTCATTTAAGACTCCTGAGTAGTCGCCGCGGTCATGTTGAAATCGTAACGTTAGAAACGAGGATTAGCATGTTGATTGTTATGTACCATTTGTAAGTAAAGACAATTTGGATAAATGACGAGAACGCTTTAAAACATTTGTAAAAATCGACAAAAGCTATCCTTTCCTCTCTTGACAGTAAATGATCGTAAAAGGCACGTAAAATGAGCCTACATACTCTGGCAAAAACACACAGTCTGATAGCTGTTGAAACAAGTGAAAAATACACTTCTACATATAAAATTTCAAGATAACTTTAATTTTCGATAATTACGACTTTGATAAGTACGAGATAAGTCACATTTCACAATTGAGCAAATAATGAAATGGCATGCAACACAAATTTCGTTGTCAAAACATCATTTTTCCACACCTATAAGTTCAGCCATTTATTGTGGCGAGGCGCTGTAACACACACGAGCACAAGCTCATGTACATGTGCTCGCCTTTGGTGCGCCGAGAGCACATGTACATGGGCTTGTGTTTGTGTGTATGGCTATCAGTTTCGCCAAGCTGTCGTCTGATTCGCCACCATCAACGTTCTTAACCGAGTACTCAGGAGTCTTAAAATCACATCCTGTATAATACTTATGGATTGATAGAATAGACTAAACTGAATATAAAAGTTCTCTTATCATATTGAGATTTTCATGATTAATGAAAAATTAATTTATAAAGCAAACCAGCGCAACTACAATTATTCGGTGACAAGACACAATCCAATATTTACGGTCACTAAGCATGCAGTTCCATAAACAACAATAGGCCTGTTCTTTTTGGCTAAACTTTTGCCAAAACCCAGTTCATTTTTCTTCCTTTTCTTCTCAGCTGAAAAGAAGAGAAAGAAAGATGGAATTGATGCAAAAGTTCAGCCAAAAAGAACAGGCCTAATGACTGTACCGCTTATTGTTTTTTGTAGAGCACCTTCCTTCTATTGCCATGCTGCTTATTTAGAAACTGTAAACACTGGACTGTCTATCAGCGACTTGTGTACATTAATTATTAAATCTTTATAAATTAATTTCTCGTTTAGTTATTGCAAAAAACGCACAACATACAGGACTTTTCTATTTGATTTAGCTGTCCACAAGCATTATATCAATAATTATCAGACGCTATATTTTCTCATCTAGAAATAATTTTTTTTTTCTTTTACTTTTAGACTCAACAAAACAAGAATTCAACACCAATTAAATTGAATATTACAAGTAATTCAAGTGGAGGAAACATATCTCAAGGAAACATTCAGCTAGTAGTTGATCCACGTATGGGACATGTTATTTTGGGACCTGTTACGCAGACCCAAGGTAGTAAACCACTTGTTAGAATCGCAATTTATTGAAGACAATTTAACTTTCATTGATGTTTGCGGGTCCAATGGACATTTTTTTCAATTACGTAGCAAATCTTCAGTTAGCTTTGTTTTTTTTTTTTTTATAATTTCTTTCACAATCTTAATTTTAAATTACATAATCTTATTTCTCATTTCACTTTTAAATTTAAAAAAAAATCGTTTACTTATGTTAACTTTAAGCAAAGATATATATTAAAAATTTTGTTGGGAACACTGGACTCGCGAATACTAGTCAAAGGGGAACGAATACCAATTAGGATTAAACATAGTTTCAGATACAACAACTACAACCACATCTGCAGCTTCAACTGTAGCTCCTCAGCCTCAACAAGAGAATGTACTATCAATTCTATTTGTATTTTCTTTATTAAGAATAGATCCTTAACATTAATCACACATTAATATTTTTTTATTTTAAACGAATCAATATTTTTTCAGTATAAATACACCAGATCTGGACGTAGGACAAAAGTTCTTCAAGTGCAACAATCTGATATTATAGAAGAAGTATGATTTTTACAAGAAGTTACACATTTTTTACACTAATTAGTTAATAATTAATAAATACATATCTTATTTTTACAGCCAGCACCCACAGTTACTCGCGTGAAATCAAAAGCTGCATCACCACATGTGTCAAATAAAGGTAATGTAA